ACCACATCCTGTTAAATGTGAGTTACTTAATGCATAAGAATAAAAATAGCATAACTTAATGGCTTTAATATCCTGGCTAGTTTAAACGTATATATTTTTTAGGTTTATATTTTGAGTTTTATGTTGCCTGTATTGTAGTCAAAAATACATTAAACCTCATTTATGGCTGCAAATGATTCTTTTGCTAATCAATTATTAACATTATGATTGCTGATTATTTTATAAATTCATCTAGAAAATGATGCCCGTTAGATTTCTATGAACAAGGTGAAGACAAAACATTTTTTGGAACCTGCTTACATGATTATTTCACTTATCAGTTGAATATTATTTAAAAATTGAATAATCAGCATTAATATTAGAAGTTTTTTCAGCCCTGGACTTATTTGTATGCAAGCAAAACAAGTCAAGTACAGCTATACACTCTTAAAATTGATGATATACACTGAAAAAAAGAATGCAACCGATTTTTGCATTTACTTAATCCTATTTATTTACTTTAACACAACTGTTTTATGTCTTACCCTGCTAATATGAATCAATTGTTTTAAAGTAACTATATATGATTAAGTAAATGCAAAAAAAACGGTTGCATTCTTTTTTTTTTTCGGTGTACTAAATGGCTTTTGTTAAGACTAGCCTGCATAGTTGTGGTTTCAGTTCAACATGTAGAAGTGGCCAATGTCCAATAAAGCTGTCATAGTCTGACCTAACTGCAGATGTTTGGTTACAAAAGCAGATATTCTGCTTCACATGTGATTCTCTTGTTAATATAACAAAATAAATAAATAATGAGATTGTTGAAGGATAAGTCTGGTTAACAAGGAATGATCAATGGGTCATTATTTATACCTAAAACTAATACGTTTGCAGTGATTTAATACATTTAGCGTCTATCAGTAAAAAAAATTAAAAATGGTTTTCGTCGTGATCCCTCAGACCAGCCATTTTTGCCCAAATATAGCAACACCTCACACCTGACATCTTCCAGCTGTGATGTCACGGTGCGGTAAGCTACTAGACACATCTGCAATCAACAACTATTGAAGATTTTGTGAGGACTTAACCATTGAAATTCACGAGAGCTATAGTTAAACTGACAATGCCCATGTGGCAGTTGGATGTTGTAATACATCGGATAAAAGTGAAGAAAAAAAAAAAAGTTATTCAACCTTTCCGATTCATGATCCTCCACGGATGACTTCGTCGTTGGATTGTCAACATGAAGAGGGAGGATTTGCCATCGAACTTCTGACCAGAGAAAAAACATGTAATATGTAGCCAACATTTTGAGGATGAATGTTTTTTTTTTTTTAAGATGACTTGGATAATACCACGTTGTGACAAACACCAGATATAGCATTGGGACTTGATCAACAGCCGATACCGCACCATGACGTCACAAACCGGTAGGTGGCAGTAGTGTTCCTTAAACGTGGATGTCTCCAGTAAAGCACATTCAAATTAAATTACTCTTAATTAAAAACACTTCATTTATTGAACAGTATGTAATACTTTCCTATTTAAAGTACTTTCAGAATTTTGAATTCTGAATATGACCGGACTTTTCCTTTAACGAAATTCTTCCTGCTGTAACAAACGGCAATGAAGAAATACATTTGCAGGAATGTGTAAAATTGAAATAACTACTGCTTCTCAGCTGATCTTAACATTATTATCATTAGCTTCTGCTAACTGCTTAGCATGTTATTAATGTGAAGTTTAAGATGGAAGGGAATGAAAAACAATTAGGCGTTCTTTTTATTTCTTTTCCAACCAATCAAACTGCTTTTCCCCCTTTGTTTGGTTGTCAAGGTCCAGTTGGGTCTTTACTTTTTCCCTTGTTCCCTATTTAATGTGTCAACAATGTAAAAGGAAGTATTACAGAAAGTATGATTTTGACGCAACAGTCTCAAAGTGATCTATTGTACTTTGTTAATATATTAAGACAATTCTTTAAAGTTAATACTGGAAAATTTTGGATTTTAAATTTCGTTGTATCTTGTGTCAAAACTAATGTAATATCTCTTGTATTCAAGCAAGGACAAACTTCTCGAACATCTATTGTATCTGATTTAACAGCAGGATTGCTCTAGGTAACAAATAGGTTCAAGTAGAAACATGCAGAGGTGAATACGAGGTCTGATTAGCTGCAAGGTTTTGTTTTTGGTGGAGCTGGTTTAGCTCATCTCGTCATATGCTGCAGGAGTCTACCAGACACATACGTTCACGTTTGGAAGGCGAGAATCCAGCCACATGAAAGCCACATGAGCAGGCGTGAGCAGCTGGAAGGTGTTCATCTGTATATAATAAGATATTAAATCTTTTATTCTTTCAGTTTGAGGATCAGGCCAGTTTTTCTTTTGATAATCTTTTCTGATTAGCACTCTGTGGGAGTCTGACTAAACGATAGAAATTCACTGCGTTGTAATAATCTTTTTTTCTTCAGTGCAGCTGAAAATTTTACAGCTGAGTCATTTTCTAGTTTGAAGCTTCTCTCGCTAACAGCTGCAAGGTGTTTTGGTTTAATTTGACCCATCCTTCCACAATCCCCCATTTCCTTTCTAAAATGATTTGAATGCACACTGATATTTAACTTTGGTATTAAATGAAACCGTTTAAGTGATGTGTTAAAAATGATGAGTTTACAAACTTTTGTCTGCATTGAGTGCCGGACTATATCAATTTAAAAAAAAATAAACATGCACCTATGTCATTTTTTTGTTTATTAAATACATTTGTCATATTTTTTTATATGGAGTCTTATATGTGCATTGTGCATTTTGAACTGCTTATATCTTAATGCTGTTTTATGTAAAATCATCGAAGATCTCTTTATCTTTGAGGATCTCTCCTACGCATACCTCGCCTCAGACCCGCCATGCAGGCTTTCATTCTGATGAGGGTCTGAGTTATGCAAGATATTTATCACTTTCTAATGAACCTTCTGTTTTTTTATATCTTTAAGGTGTGGTGATGGAAAATATTTTTGATCTTTAGCTTTTTGCAGAAGCCTGAAAATGTTTCGATCCAGCAAACCGTTATGCTGCCTCTTCTATACTTAACTCTTACTATAAATTGCAGCGTAGGTTTTGGAAAAAAAATATTTAGGAACATTGTCCATAATGATGACTGCATCCATTCCTTTCTGGGGTATATTTAAGGCCTTTGAAATATATATTTTTTTACCTTCCTTGGGCTAAACAACGCCTTTTAAAGGTGAGATGCACTTGATGATTGAACATTTTTCTGCAGAAGATGCTTTTTGCCATGAGTTGAAACTAAGAAGTCAGGAAACCTTAAAATCAGATGAAATATGTACTCTTATGCAGGTTATGGCATTTTTTTCTGTTTCCTTAAAAAAAAAAAAGTTATTTTTTTTTCTTTTCAATTTAGTTTTTCAGGTTACAGCAAAAGAAAATTGTCAAATTTTTTTAAAAGTAAAAAGTTTTAACATAGTTTTTTAAAAACACTTTCCATATTTGTTGAATCATTTTGTCACGCAATGCTGTTTGAAGATATTTTTACTTGTGTTGGTATCAATAGGCGCACTTAGCAGCAGTACACAGCCAAGAAGTTATCAATCACAGCACTGGTTTCCTGTCTTTCACTAGGCAGTCACCTCTATTTATTGCCACAAAAAGCTACAACAGTACTTTTCTGATCCAGTCCGACTTTATTTGTAAAGCATGTTAAGATTTCCCATAGATCAAACTACTGTGAATTGAACAACAGCAAACCAATACAGATTCAGAGGACTTAATTTAAATAGAAACAAGTATAAAACACAACAGCACAACAGAATTAAAATTAGATCTACAAATGTCTGTTTGTTGTAAAAATATAACTTTGTTGGGCGTAAGACATTTTAAACATGCTGTTAATTAACATATATCTGTCATACTTCTGGTAAGATGGACACACAACAGATATAAGAACAACAATTCTTAACCGCCGGAATGTTTGTGTGCAAAAATGCAACCGTTGAAATGAATGATGTGAAGCAATGCCTGGCAGGCATGCCTTTCAAGTCCCACACAATCACACTTTAATAATAATACTACATGGTTAAATACTTTAACCATATATTATGACATTTTTGGGGTCATCAGGTGTATTAAAATGGCTTCTTGGTACCTAGATCGGAAAATTTTTAAATTTTAACATCATTATTTTCCCATGTTGATCCATTTTATTTATTTATTTTTTTTTTTACAACACTCAGACTGAATGAATAGAAAAAAATCTTTATATTACTTGTTCAAATAGTCACACGGGTTAAAGCCGAATACACAACTGGAAGAATTGCCCCTCTTTATTTTAGTTGCTTTTATTAGTTGGATGGCTGCCCATATGTTGTTTTTCAACCCATGACTGAAGTCTAGCCAAACAGGCTGGGTGAGTGCTTGATGGAAGTTAATTTTTATAGAAATTCCTGTGGGGGTGGGGGCGTGGTTCCAGAAGAAGTGTCAAAACAAGACTATTTTGAAGGAGGAAGCAGCGATCCTCCTTATATTGGGCTTTTAATTATACTTTTCTGCTCCTTAAATACAGGAACATAGCTACCTTTAATCAAATCATGTAAAAAAAATACTTTAACTAATACTTTAACTGATGTATCCCACAGACATGTTTTCTCTTTAAATGGATTACCCTGATCTTTTTAATATGTCTTGTGAAATATCAGCGTTTACTTTAGATGTGCGCTGGGAAAACAAATGTTACATATTTAGTTTATTAGGAGAGTTTTTCTGGATGGTCAACAATTTTTTTTATTTTATTTTTTTTGTGGTTGCGCAGCAGCAGTTAAGTTTTAAGGCAGCTCCAGGTAGTTGATTTGCCTGATTTAAACATTAGTTAGGGGATGCGTTGGTTCATAAAATAGGTCAGGGATCAGTTTAATGAAGTCTGAGGGAAGCTTAGATATACCCTTTACAGAGGTTACATTGTTGTAGACAGTATTTGACTTCTAAAACTCCACCCTGTACATTATCTGGCAGGAAGCATCGCTTGAAAGCAACAGTGTGGAAACACCTGCTGACATGAACACACTGGATTAATTTCAACAGTCATGCCTTGGCTTAGAAGGGCCAGGGGATGTCTTGGCGTGCTGAAATCACCGCCAAAATGGCAACGGCTGCTCCATTCGTAAGTGTTTTTTGTGTACGGATTGGTGATGGGCTCTCTTTGCTGTATAATCCTACCTTTAAACATCTTTAGTTAAGGCTTTGAATTCTTTCTGTTGTTGAACTTTCCACCTTCAAAACTGGGTTTTGAAAAGTATAATGCAAAAAAATAAAGTTTATTAAAAAGACTGTGGAATCAGTGCAAGCTTTTTCAGATCTATTTATCTGTAGACATAAATAGATTTAAATTTTTTCTTTTGTTTCTCAAAATATATTGTAGCAAATGTATTCAACTCAACTTTATCAGATTTGCAGGGATTAACCCCAATGACTTAACAGTTTTCAAGAGGAAGTGAAAAGCTGAAAGTCTAAACAGAGACCCTTTGAATATGCAGAATGCATACAAGTTTAAAAAAAATGGCCTTGAGTTGAGAAAATTACATCTGAAAACACTGCAAAAAACATATACAAATAAATACAAATTCCTAAATTAAGTCTATTTACCCTTAATTTGAGCCATAAATAAGATGATTTGCTAATGGAATTAGTATTTTTACTTTTAAAGCAAGATAATTAGATAATATGCACTTGAAATAAGACAATGCAAATGTGTTTTCTTATTTTAAATGTAAATTGTGTTTTGTTAGCAAAGTCTCCTCAATTCAAGAAAAAATGCACTTATTTTATGTAATAAAGTGACTTATTGATTATTTATTATAAAAAAAATTGCAGTGAAGTTGTGTAAAATCCACAATTTTCTATTTTAATTTTTTTTGTTAACCCTTACCTTTTTTTTCATAAATCTGAAATTAATCTAGTTTCTCCGATTTCAGATAATGCATTTAAATAATAATTTAAAAAAAAGTTGATGAGAAAATAATTTAGGAAATTGAAGGTTAAATATGTTTCTTGCAATACAAGAATACTTGTTATTTGTCCATGCTTCCTCATTCATCATATTCCAAGGTTGGTTTAGCTGGAACGGTGCCACTTATTGTCATTTCTTTCTAGTAAAGGATTTTTTTTCCCCCCTGTTTGTTTTTTTAAAAGCAGTTGCATTGAAGAAGGACTGTGTTTAGTGTTGCTGGTTGTTAATATTATTTGTCACCTAAAGACGATATCAATGCTGTTTTTTCAGCTGTCCTTACCCATGTTTATAAAACAATGGGATGTAATTGAAGCCTTCACCATTATGGCATGAGTGTTTCCTTATTTAAATCCCTATGTGATCAACACTCAGATTACATAAACATCTATGGATAAATCCAACAATTATACCAACTGTGAAATTTTAAATGCTCTTAATGTTGAACAGTTACAATCCAAACCAAGACCACATGCTGGATGATGGTTACTATAATAGTGCTTTATGAATTATTCTATACAGCAGTTTAGGGATTTAATGTAATTTTTCAGTACTAAGGATATTTAAGGTCTTATCCATTTGATCTTTATTCAACAAGGAATGTAATGATGGACAGTTGTTTTTGTTTTTTTACATCTGAAATTGGGTATAAATTGGCTCAGAATAAAAAAAATCCTCTTTAATGTCAAATGCCTAGAACTGGTGTGCTTTCTTTCTACCATTCCTATCCAGGCATGTGTACGTTTGTGTAGTAGTCATACAGTAGAAGGTTCAATCAAAAACCAAACCAAAACAAACCACTATTTCTCAAAGCTGCAAGGGAGACCAAAGAAAAAGAAAATAGAAAGACCAATCCAGCTTAATTTGAAGGATTTAACCGAAAAGCTTGTGTGGCAGAGATATAAATTGATTTTTGTTTGGCCTCAGCACAGGCAGCTGTGCCTTCCATGTCTCTGTCATACTTTCTCTGCACTGCTCTTAAATATGTTTTGATTTGTTACAGGGAGACCACAGCCGATTTCGTGCCAGACTGTTGGTCTGTTTTCCTAAACAATTTTTTTAAGCATCCTGTATTCATTAGCATTATGTTGTTCCTGGTTTTGTTCCTGCTACTAGAGTTACCGGTTATTTTGCGACTGGAAGGTTTGAACTGGATATGACCGGGTCACGGCTGCTGAATATGCTGGCCTCTGATGAAAATGCTGAGAGGCTGCTAGTAGGATAAGATGCAAGAGGAAAGCTGGCTGCACTCAGAAAAACAAACCTAATACTGTTAGGGACTGTATGCCTTCTGATGGGCCAAGTCTACATTTCTTAAATCCATTCTGTTTTGTCCTGATGAGTTATCTATAAATGAAGAACTTAATTCAACACAGTTTTTATGCACAAACAGAAGACGTCTAGATAAAAATGTAAGACTTAGGCTCTGGATTTCCCTCTTAGTCTTGCACTTCACTTCTTTCATTTAACACAGTGTGGTTTTTATGCAGAGAGGTTGCTGAGAAAATGTGAATGGCATGTGACTGTGTTGATGTCAGAACCATATCTGCATTATTGAAAGCCTTATTGAGTGCACCGAAAGCACAGTGCATCTCTGCAGATAAACATGTCAAGCACTAGCTCTCGCAAACAGGTTCACACTGTGGGATTGTTCACCACAGTGACAACCGGGTGAACCAGCAGACTGTCTAAACTCTTTTTGCATAGAACAGGAAGGAGTCGGGGCCAAATTCTTGCAGCCTTTCTGCAACTTTCATTGAATGTATTATGAAAGCTGTTATGAAATATGTGAAAAGATTCTTTTGTCAGGTTCTTCTTGACTGAAACTCAGCGTGGGACCTGCCCAAAACTGGTTTAAATTCCTTTTCACCTCTCAGCTTGTCTTCATAGTCCTAACAGTTTCAATGCTGGTGTTTAAGATAGGCTCTGTTTTTGCACCTTGATGCCGTATCTCTCCGGTTCTTCTCCCTGAAAAGAGATCACTCTGCACAAACTCTTTAAATAACAATTCATAACTTATATGTATTAAATAACCAGGAGACATGACGACAGATTCTGATAGAAATTGTAATCTTACTCAGATCAGAGAAATTGCTTAGAATATACAGAAGGCAGTTTCTCACCTCCGGGCTCACCTCTCAGGAAGTGGCCCCGATTAACAGTTAAAAAGGCATTTTATACATCTCCAGTCTGCCACATCATCTTATTTTACATCATACACGTTAGCAGATGATTAGACATTCATGGCTTCAGCCTAATCAAAATATCACAATTCATTCTTAGCTGAAGGACACCACTCTGATTCCTTTTTCAAATCTTTGCCACGTACAGAATTAAGAATATAACTGTATATCCAGACAGAGGAACTGTCCAAATATCACGCAACAGGCAATGATAATTTTCTTAACACTGGTAACACCAAGTATAGGGCCTTACAAAGGTATCTGCATCAATTTAGATTTCGTATACATTTTGTGAAATTAAAATCTCAAACTTTGATGTATTAGATTAGGATTTGATTTTATAACCAGGCAAGAAATAATGTACAAGAGAATGTGGAGAAAACATGACACTGTACTTCCCCATGATTTTGAAACATTGTAAGGGCAGCATCGTGCTGTCAGGAGAAGTATCTTGGGCAGAGATGGGAAGATAGATTAGGCTTAACACAGAGTAACACTAGAAGAAGAGGCTGAAATATACTTACTTGGAGTTTTGAGGGGGCTCTGGCTGCAGAGCTGCACTGTCAGGACCCTGGCTACAGAGCTGCACTCTCCTGGTACACAGGTGTCCTGTACTGTTACAACTGGAAGTTTATTCAAAGTAAAGGCAAAGTTGATTTGA